CCCCGTGGTCTTTTCTCTGATTACCTGGCGATGTGCTCTGCATTCGAACATATTTTTGTTCATCTATTTGTATACTGTAGGATATCTTACGTATACTAAAGCAAACCGATAAGATGTGAATAAACGTATGGCAATAAATAAGAGGGTCGCATCTCCAGTTTGCACGGTATTTTTAACAGGCCCAACCAACCCGCGCAACTGACCGACCACATAATATTGCCACAGTGGAGCTGTCGATCTAAGCGATCTCCCGTGAGCCTTTGAAGTTTCAAAACATTAAGGAAAAAGAAACGCTGTAATCTTCAAAGACTTGTTCTCTAATAAACTGGCTTTAGAAAGTTCCGACTACAAATTAAATAATTGATCTGACGTTGTGATGAAGCCCAGGGACCTGCTTGCAAATGTGGTTAGTAAAAGACGTCGGGTGGTCCTGTCTGTCTCTCGGTTGGGCAGATTCTTTCGCAAGAGATGGTCCCAAAAAAGAAAATTAAGAAGTCGAATATTGTGTTAGCAAGCTTTGATTTTTTAAAGTTATATAAAGTTAATCAGGATGAGAGTGGCCGGGGGGTGCCGCTGGTAAAGGTTCTACTGCTTTTGTCCCCCTCCCCACCCCCTTGTGTTGTGTTTCTGTTTGCCATACTTTTATCCTTTCCCTAGATGGCCGTTATTCTATCAATGTGCTTTTCTGTACTCAAAAGAGATGTAGAATAGAAAATCCACAATCTTTCTTTAGGTTCGTTAACTGAGTAGAAATAGTGCAGGGGGTTTGAAGGCATCGTCTGTTTCTAGTTGATGCTGCAGAATTGCTTCTTCCAAGGCAATCAGGAGCGACTAGCATTTTGTGTGTGGAATGAAAACGTACAGTAGTCATATTATTATTACATGTATTTCTGAAATGCTGTAGAAACTAAGCTGGGGAAATGACGTGAAGAATGCCAAGGAAAAAAAAAGAACCAGCGTCACTCTCATATTAAACCTTTTTTAACTGTAGTTGTCGGCTCAGCTCGATTCCCGGTCCCGTTGGAGAAGACCATATCTTTAGGACAGTTTTTTTTGGTCCTATATAATATGCATAAATTCACCCGGCTGCAAATACTAAGACAACAATAAATGCTGTGCACTGTGCAATCGAACGACTTGCCTGACAAGCACAGGAAAAGGCGTAATAGATAAATAAATATAATGAAACAAAATTTTGAAAAGATAAAATAGAACAATGTAACAACAAAATACATTTTAAAAAAGGATATCAAAAGAATTCGATTTTTACAAATATAAAACAACCACCCATACAACTGACAAATACTATATCCCCTCTCCCCAAAAAGGGAG